TCAAATAAATACAAGAATGCAATAACTAAAGTAAAATTCGAGTTTATAATTTATAGTAACATGAATAAATAATGGCATATCAAGGGCTTCTTTAGCAATTACACTACAAAATATTTAAATATTTATAATTTACATACATAAGAATCCTATAATACATATAACACTAAAAGATTTTCCAAGAAAAGAGAAAACTAACCTTAATGAATGAGCTAAATACCCTTCCAAATTAACACACAATATAGGTTATTCTTCTACCATTGCTTAAAATTGCCGTTAAGGGACAAAGCCAACTAATAGCCTAACTTGGCACCAACCACATGCTAATACCCAATAAAACACCACATTTTTTTTGCAGTCCAATACAAGCCAAGGCCCCCATCTCTCTCTCTCTCTCTCTCTCTCTCTCTCTCTCTCTCTCACTCACTCTCTCCCTCTCTCTCTCTCCCTCTCTCTCCCTCCACCACACTCCACCACTGGTTGCCGGCGGCCCTTTTAAGCTCAGCCTCGTCATCTTTGCCGGTCCGAATCTGTTAGGCGAAGCGAATCAAATTTAGTGTATCTTTTGAAGTTGAGGAGCACATACTTCTTTGAAAGTGAGAACCATACTTTTTTTTTTTTTTTTTATTTCTTGAAATTGCTAATGTCTCTAGCTAGCTTCTTCTCCAATGTTATATTATACGAGTATGTGTTGATTTAACGAGTATAGATTTTGAGGCTCTTTCACATTCTATCATTGTTTGATCATGATCACTACTAATGCTGCACATTCATACGAACGTAAAAACTGTAACGACAATAAATATATACTAGTAAAAACTAAAATAGAATAAGAATCGACATTCGTGTACACAAACACGTGTATATTATATGGCTGATCGCATTTTCGATGAATTTTTCGTGATTTTGCAGAGCAAGATGGGTGAGATGTCAGGGTTTCAATTAGGTGTGATTGGTGCGTTGTTCCTTTCGGTGGCCTCATCGGTCTCCATTGTCATCTGCAACAAGGCCTTGATGAGTAATCTTGGTTTTCCTTTTGGTAATTAAGAATTTTTTTTAACAATCTTCCCTTTTCCAAATCATCATTAGTGGCTCACTTCCAATTTTTATTAGTCTAAATTTATAGTATTCACTTTCAATTTTTAGCGAAAAGCTTCGAAAACTAGCAAATGCACTAATGCAGTTTTTTTTTAATCGATCTGCATTGATTTAATAAAATCATACTATAATGATAACGTGATACTCGTGCTAATTATAGTCGTTTTTGCAGCCACAACACTCACTAGTTGGCACCTAATGGTAACTTACTGCAGTCTTCATGTGGCTTTACGCTTGAATTTCTTCGAAAACAAGCCGGTCGATATGAAGACCGTGATGCTTTTCGGTATCCTAAATGGTGTTTCGATTGGATTTTTAAATCTCAGCTTGGGATTTAACTCCATTGGCTTCTATCAGGTACATAATAATAATAATAAAAAAAAAAA